TATGAAGACATTGTTCTGTGGCTATCGTCCTAAATAAGTTGTTCACGTTTTAAAATATGTTATTTTAAAATATTAATCTATTAATAATAAAATAAATGTATTATATTATATTAAATATATTAGGATTTGGTTTCGCTAAAACAGTAACAGTCACTGACTCAACATAGTCCGTGCAAAGCTACCGTTAATTCCTGAAACATGCATTTATTTTGTGTGCAAATTAAGAACAGTTCTAATGCATGTCGGGTAGTTTTGTTTTTCTAATTTTATTGTGCTTTATCATTTTTTGTTGTTGTAAGTATTTCATCTGGATTTGTTTTGCACCATAGGACCACCATAGAGGTGTCAACTACAGCAGACACTGAGGCCTCTTAATGCTGACAAGAACAGCTGATATCTCAGTTTTGATAAAAGTATTCTGAGTATTCTACCTTTATCCAGAAACAGCCCTATTGTGTGTGTGTGTTTCAGCACAGCTCACACTGTTCTTTTCCTAAATCACTTCAGAACCTGGGAATAAATCGAATAAAATGGCTGAAAAACAGCTACAAGTAAACAAGCATGTAACATATCAATCCAACCTCAAACTGTCAAGCTGCTGCTAAGCACTTTAGTGTAATACTCCTTATCGGATGGAAGCCTGATATTTATGGATTTCAGTCTTTTAGGCTCAAGAGTTTTTGCTGGCATCCCTTCCAAAGAAAAAAAAATGACAATTTAATAAAATCTTTATCGGGACACTTCGAAGTCTTGGAGGGGGGGACTATCAGCTTGTTTTTAATTTAGGAGCAAGTGTGTGCATTTCACTTTATGTAAAGACAGTGAAAATATTAGTATCATTAGATAACCCTTTAAAATCTAAACTGTGTAATAATTACCTTTTAATATTTAAATATTATGTTTCATATTTGTTTTGTTTTTTATTTGTATCATATTTGTTGCCAGGTGTTTCATCAGATTCGAGGTGTTACCTCCTTTGCACAGTATCACCTTAATGCACTTGTTGCAGGCTGCTGAGTTTCCATCTTTTGCTGTGAAGTACAGCCAGACTTTTGACCGCTTCACCTTGGGCATTTTTAATCTGTAGCTCTGCTCTTAAAGAACGTACGTAAAAAAGGCACCGAAATAAAGCACCGAAATGTGCGCTGCTTTTCAGTCTGGTTACTACCGTTTATGTCAGAACCAGTATCCAGTGCCATAATGGCACCGGATACTGGTACCCATCCCTACTCAGAAGTGCCTTGAGTTTTATAAATAATGACATAGACACTGTATAATGTCTATGCCCCATCGTCAAGGGAGAGCACGTAAAACTTAAAGACACAGAGCAGACTGTGGCAGTGACAGAGTGACTGCTTTGAAAGCCTGAAGCTACAGCTGTGTGATGATGGCAAACAGTTGAGTATGGCTTAAAGAATGAACTGATATTTTCTGCCTTTTCTGGAATATGTGGATGCTTCCTGGGAGCTGTAGAGGTGTTGTTTACCATTTCTCAATCTGTGGCTTTAGAAGCCAGTGAAACCTAGACAGACTTTCAAAAGGTGAGATATAAAACTGTAGCCCTCGGCGCAGCGAAAATATTGATTCAGTCGACAAGTTTCAAATCTCAAATCCCTCTGATTCCACGAAAATGCAAAGTTTTAATTAGAGTTCCTTTTGCCACAAGGTTCTTTGTCTCTGCCTCGCTGTGCTTTGACTCGCTGCCAGGATCCGCTGTCTGCTGTCTCAGCTCCAAGTCAAGAACAAAGTCACTGACATAAGAGTCATTTGGGTCGTGACATTGTGCGGTGCAGGAGTATTTGGGAATTTACACATTTTTTTGTTGTTTGTTTGGCTCCATACTCCACCGCACTGGATTTGAAACAGTAGTTGAGGTTGAAGTGCTTGCTCTCGGCTTTAAACGAAAGGCAATTTCAGCGAGAAGGGGACTGTATCACTGGGGTTTTTTTTGGATGGTGCAAAAAGACACTAGTATAAGGATTCCTGCATCCTCAAATATGTAAACCACAGTGTGTCGAAAACAGACCATGCCTAAATACATGCCTCTTTCCAAATTGTTTCCTTTATACATTTCAAGATCATACTCTTGAAGGACCACTTCACAGATGTTACACATGAAGTTCAGCTTCTAAAAAAGGCACATTGACTTCTCCACCTTCTTGTCAGCCCATTAGCACTTATCCATTTCCTGTTCCAAACGCGTCTTTATTGCTAAAAGCAAACAAGCTCTGAAGCTCCGCTGAGAGTTAAAAACTGTCCATATTCTTTCAACACTTTCTCACAGGTGTTAAACTCATGTGACAAATAATGTTTTCACAGGACTCTTTCTACCTTCACTGCTTCCATAGTAAGTAAGAGTGCAGCAGCAGACAATTACTGCTAATTAAATCCACTTGATTAACTGATTATCAGCTAGTGTGATCACCTTGCTGAGGTTTGCTGGTCTGGAGCATTTAGGTTTGTGTTAACACACCACCATGATCTTTCAAGGAGTTCACCCCAAGGTCAGACCATACGATGCTCAGAAAAACTGCAACTAGCCCAAGGGTGCATCTCAAAGTCTACAGGTCTCAGTTAGCATGTTGAATGTTAATGTTTGTGACAGCACAATTAGAAAAAGCTGAACATGTTTGGCTCATATGGAAGATTTGCTGTGACAAAGGAACATAGCATGGTGGAGGTTTGCAAACCACAAGACCTCTCGAGTAGCATCCTTTGGACAGACCAAACACAACATATCAGCATATCATTTGGACTTTTGCTGCAGCAGGACTTCAGCACCTTCAATTCCTTGAGTTGAGTTATGGATTTATGAGTCAATGTGAGGTCATCAGTTTGACAGCTAAAGCTTGGCCATAATTGTGTCATGTAACAGGACAATAAACTCAACCACAGCAGCAAATCTACAACAGCATGGCTGAAAAATATAGAATCACTGTGCTGCAATGGCCCAGAGTTTAAACCTCAACCTCGATTGAAATGCTGTGCATAATAAAACCCCCGCAAACCTCAATGAAGTGAAGCAACTTTGTAAAGAAGAGTGGACAAAAATTCCTCCACAACCACATGAGAGACTCATCAAATCATACAGAAAACAATTACTTCTAGTTAATGCTGCTAAAGGTAGTTCAACAAGCTACCGAATCATTGGGTATACTTATCTGTCACTGTTCAATCAAGCCTTAGCATGTTGCAGCAAACAAATGTCGTAGCAGGTTGGAGGGTTGGTACTTCATCAATTAGCAAGCAGGTAAATACTCTGGAGAATGAAGTGCAACATGCTATTAAGTTGTATTGTTGAGAGAAAATGATCTGGTATTTTTAAGAGATTAAAACTCAAACTGCTTTCTGCCTCGCAGGTTTTGACCTTTTTTTTAAAAAAAATTCTTGTTATCAAAGATAAACTGTTGTAGGAGCGATATCTGGACCTTGAAATTGTTTACACTGATTAGCCTGAGGCTTTGTGCTTTCAAACAGTGTATAGTTCCCCACACAGTTTAGCGCAGATTCAATTGGATAACATCCAGAATGAGATATCAAACTATCTCCTTTTTTTTCCTTGAAAAACCAAATGGTTCATGCATGTAAATTCATCTTTCTATCAAACATATAACATATAGGTAGAAGGCAGCTTACACTTCCTGTGTTCAGCTTGCATTTACTTTGTGGTTTGTCAGGATGCAGGAAGTCAAACAAAGCCTCCTGCAGCATTTTCCCCTTGCTCACTTATTTTTTTATTTTTAAATTGGAGGTGCCAGACTACACCACTCAGCTGCCTCTGAGTGCTTACACCTTCCCATTATTGTCTGATCTCCCTTTTTTACTTACAAGCTACTGAACACGCAGATGAGAGCGTACCTAAGTAGAAAAGGTCATTCACTCTCACTCTTCCATCACTGATTACTTCTGGCAAGGTCCGACCTCCAGCTGTCAGCGTTGATCCTGCAGTGGATGCTCCGTTTGCTCAACCCCAGGATCACTTAAGGCCACAGCTCCATTCAGAGAGACCCACTGGGAGCGTCTCTTTTCTGCACTACCTTCATTTTTGTATTACTTTCAGATGGAAGCAGGCCTCGCTGCTTGTACCCAACTGAGCCGAGATCTCTGCGTGTTTTTAAGAGCAGTGTGTTGACCGCTCTGAGAGAGAGCATTTACTTCCGAGCTGAAAACCCTTAATTTAATTCCCGACGGGATTCTGTTTAGTGCTGCGAGGTATAAAACAGTGGACAAAGTGGCCAGAGCATCAGTGCGTCGATGCTTAACGCGTACTCGGGCTTCAGTGCAGAGCTGAACGTGTGCGCCAACCTCTGCACCTGTGTGATGTTCACATTTGGCACATGATACAGGAGGTAGATGCAAGGCCTGAGGGCAAATATGGTCGAGAAGAACTGTTTTATTTTTGCCCTCTCTGCCAATTAAATGCTCAGTTTTACAAAGCGTTTACTGTATTCTAAGTGGAGATGAAGCCACATTTGTTACATTTCTACCTATTTTGGAGCACTATAAATCTCATTTTGCTCAATTATTTAAAATCTTTCAAACTTTCATTCCATGAACTATATATATACAGAAGAAACTTTATAAGGCAAGAATTGATTTGTTTTGGAGGAGATTTGGTGGATTCACGCTAATAATCGAGATAATTCCACCCTCCTCCGAGGATTGTGCGCATTGAGGAATTGTGGATTAGGACTTATCTGTGTGTTGGAAACCATCCAACTTGCTCTGGAGGAATTCATTGACCTTGGAGTAAAAGTTTGGTACAGCTTTATAGTTTCCCAGGGAGGAAGCTGACCTCCAGCCTCGACTCTGCGGGCGTCCGGCCTGAAGACACAGGAGTGAGACAATGAATCCCTTCCAGCTCCACTGATCCCGCACCCAATCTGACCCTAACCTCTGAACGTGTCTTAGAGAACAAGTCAGCGAACCAAATTTGCTAACAGTGGTTTTATCCTTGCTGTGTGTGTGTGTGTGTCTGCCTGTGTGTTTCACTGCCTTAGCAGAATCCCTGTTCAGCGGGCTGGGGCTGGGGGCGGTGGTGGGCCTCGGCCTGGGAGCGCTGCTGCTGCTCCTCGTGCTGGTGGACGTCAGCTGCTTCTTCCTGCGTCACTGCGGCCTGCTCATGTGCATCACGCGCACCCTGTGCAGCAAAAAAACAGCCACCAGCGGCAAGGGCAAAGAAATCGAGGAGGGGAAGGCCGCCTATCTGTGAGTATCCCCTTTGGTTTTCTTTGCATTGTTCTTTTTTGAAACCTTTGACTGCTTCAGTCCAAGCGTTTGATTTTGTGTAGTGACAGTATCAATTTTGCCAGCTCATGCCTGAAGAGGGAACATCTGCTGTGGGTGTATCTTTATGGCTGAGGGTTATGCTTCTTCTTCTTCTCGCTGTATAATTTTTGTGCAGTAAAGAATTGAAAGCCCTGAATGGGTGAATACAAGTCAATACAAAGATTTTCAGAAATTGGTATGAAAATATCTAACAGAGAACAAAAAAAAGCCTTTGCATTTCTCAGAAATGAACAATAAGGCCTCCTTTTTTTCAAGGATCTCGTCCCCGAGTGACTCGCTGAGCAATAACATTAGCTGTTCATGCCATGTTCATTCCTCTTATGTATACGTATATATATTTAGTCTGAATGAGAAAAGGAGATTTCTTTTTACCATTTACTGTAGGTACACCTACAACAGCCGCCCAGCCACCCTTTCAACCACAGTATGTCTTTGATTACGTCTTATTCACTTACATCAGTGCCTTTTACGATGTGCAGCAAGTTCACCTTTTAAGTATCCATTTGCATGCGTTATGTGAGCGTGCATTCGTTACATGCATGTACAACCGTGTACATTTTGTGCTGTCACGCTTTGTTTTCAGCCTTGTGTGTGTGTGTACCCGCCTTTATTTCATGCTATATGCATGCTAATAGTCCATGAGTGTTGCCACAAGCATCTCTGAAAAGCATTTTCTTTGTTTCCCCCTCATCAGACAGCATGCAATTTAGAAGCCTACCCCCGTGAAATTCATGGTACAACTGTTTTATGCAGGGTGCTAACTACATCGTGGTGCCTGTGAGATAGCACAAACAGGGTCTTAGTCACTGGCCACAGCCGTGCCTGTCAGTGTGCCAGCAGTGTCTGAGATGGAGAGAGAGGGCACATGTGAGGAGGAGGTGGAGGAGGGAGGGGTTTGAGTTCTGCTGAGTCACTAATCTCGCGACACTGGAGGGCCGACTGCCTGCCTGCCCAGACAGCACACGGAATCTACAGAGCAGCAACTCACAGAAGACTTTACACTCTGTCTGATGTGTGCATGTGACTAGTGTCACAGTCACATACAGTACAGCAGGATGATACAAAATAGTCCTAAAGGTAGTATAGTGACGATATACAGGTACATAGTGACTGATTGTTAAAATAGAGTCAGTTGGGCAATCGGGTGATTACTGCAGCAATAGCGACACTGGATTTACGTTGTCAAAGGCATACTTCAGCAGTGTAGTATCTTACTTTCATGAGGTAGAGCAAATGACGAGAGAAAAATCCAACACGATAGAAAGAGCAATCAAAAATTCTTTGTGTCTGTTTTTTAATTTACTTCAGAAAAGTCAATGTCAGTGGTTTCATGCAACTGTGTTAATTAACTGCTAAGAAATATTTCAGGTCACTTCATTCGCATCATTTGCATTATTGCAATGAATAAAATACTATCTTGCTTTTCAGGTTAACTCGATGGCTTTTTCATTAGAATAACACAAATGACTCGATTAAACTTAAAAACACTCCTCTTTTAAGTAAATCCACCTACAGAGGAGTCTTTAAAACCAACAAAATTGAGATTTCAACTGTGAGTAATAGATGAATCCTAAATTTCCTATTTTTTAGGCATCAGTGGTCATATAAATCTAAAGGTTATATTGCTGTAAATGTAATTACAAGCTTGCATGAGTGTTAATCAAGCTCAAGGCTTAAACCATAGTGTTTATAGTAATAGTGTAAAGTATTGTATTAAATAGAATTATTATGCCCAGTCACCACAGAATCTCGTGGTTTTCTCTTCAGACACATGCAGTTAAATGTGACTTGGATTCAGGGCATTCCCTTTTAATTGTTGAGTTTTATCATCTGAATTAGTCCTCCTGTGGAAAACTACCCCACAGATGTTTCTGCAACCTTTTATTTTTACATCTATTTCACACATTTTCAGTATGAGACCTGCAGCCATCGTGTAAATGTGAAAAACTTGTAGTTTTTTATGGTGACATCAAACAGCAATTGAAAGCGAGGCTTAAAAATAGTCACACATGAGGCTCGAACTCCAAAACACTGGAGGTATTTTGAAATGAAATCACTCCCCATGTGGTGCCAGGGACATTAACATGGGTCTTTTCAAAAAGTTGGCACAAACAAACTTAGTTGGAGGACTTCTTGTTATCACAAATAGCTCCAAATTACCGGCAACATTTTTGGATTTCACAGGAAATGACACCCCCACACATGGATCAACACTAACATGTATATGAAATGCTGCAGTTCATAAAAATCTAGTAGAAGCAAGCAGAGAAGTCAGAATCGCTAAAAGGCAAGTGGTTGAAATTGTCATATAAACCAAGCTACTAATTCTAAACATGGACCAATCTATGATCAGCACATTGTTATTAACTTTATTTAAAATTGACAGGGCTAATCATCAGCAAGCTTAAAATTATGCCAAAAGAACACATTTCGAATGACGGTAGTGTTGATGAAGGAGGTACTTGAGTCCATCTGACAGTACCTCAGAGATTCTACAGTACTTGTTAGAAACTTTCTGGTTGTTTGAGCACTTTTGATTGTTGTCCTGTTGCAGTCCGTGTCTCTGCAGAGAGATTGGTTTCATAACTGGCAGTGAAGATGGCCATAACTCCTTTGAACTAGTGTAGCGAGAATGGAGTAAATACCGTGGTCTGCTTTACAATGAGTCATGCCACTGAGCTGGAGACTAATAAGATAACACTTGAAATAATACAACTCCAGCTGAGTTTCCAAGATGTCAATAGTGCAAGTCTGAAGGTGCTGAGGGGTAATAAGTTGTAAAGACTAGCGAAGCGTGAGCAACAGTGTCAATAATAACATCAATGGAGAGCATCTACAGTGATAAATAGCATGGGGTGAACTTCAAATTAGGAAGGTGATGAGTGGCACAGATCAGAGTGTGTGCTGGGTGTCTGTTCTGAGGATGTGAGCTGAGGAGTGTGTGGGCTGGTTTGGAACCAAGAAGAAAATCTGGAGGGTATCGCCAGTGCACTTCTGACACAGCAGATTGTTTTTTTTAATATTCGGGGTTATAGAGGAGCCCACTCTCACTCCCGAGGCGTAACATGCCGACGTTTTGTCACGTCCCGGGGCGTTCCTGAGGAACGCAAAAGGAGACCTTCGGCGTTCTTATGGTACGCGGCGGGTTATGGCCGAAATCCAGTGCAATGACGCTCCCGCGGTAATAGACGTTCCAGCCCT